TATGAATGATGGTGCAACACCATTTTAGTTACAGAATTATTTTAGTTATAAAAATGATCATAAGACTCTTAGGAAGATATGTAGGAAAAAACCAACAAATGTTCAGTTATGAATAGCAATCATGGTGTCCTATGAAACCCTGTAAAGAGAAAATGCGCACACATGAAGGCAGCCCTCACGTGTTCGTTCATGAGGTTATTTAAATTATGGTTACATGGATCTAGGGCTTTTGGGAGAAGAACTTAAACAAGAACTACTTGGAGATTATAATGCTAATGTCAAGCAGAAATCAAATGTTAGCCATGTCTTGACTATGAGGAAAAGATGTGCCCTGTCTTTCTACATCCATGTTCATTTGCTATGAACCTATTCTGGTGTTTGTCAATACAGTTTTTGGCTTTGAAGAATCTTAATCTCTTTCAGTGAAGGAGCAGGAAACTGTCAAAGACTGCCAGTGTTAAGTGTCTCAGACTAAGTGCCAGAAGTGCTATTCAGTAAGCTGTGAAGTAAAACTGGCTCAGTCTATATGGCTGTAGTGAAATAAAATGCAGACACCAACATTCTGATATTACTCTCAGGAGCTAACTCTTCATACTCTGTAACTGTGGACTTGATGTAGAAAGGAATGAAGGAAAGATGACAAAGCATACTGTAGTTTTTATGGGTTGTAAAGCCATAAACTGTAGACTGTTTCAGACTAAACTATAGGTCATAAACTTTAAGCAGCACTTCCACTCTGCCTTAGATAGAAGAGCACCTAGGACAGATAAAGGAATTGTTTGAATGCTCATCATTTTTTGTAAACACTGATTCATGTTCCAGTTACACACACATTTTATAGCTCTGTCACTGCTGATCACTCTAAAATCCCATGGCACTTTGTGAAGGAGCACAGTTTTAGCTCTGACCTCATAATTACAGCAACATCTCTTACACATCCTGCAATTCTAACTGGAACCACTGGTTTTCACAGACTGCCCCAGGCCTCAATTCTGTATTTTGACTTACTGTGGGCTGTTATGTAGCTGCTGTTTTCTCTGGTCAGAAGTTCATCTGAGGGCTTCTGGAAAGATGTAATTCCAATAAAGTGCTGGATGCAGGCCAGTGAAGATATATTGCTGGTGATTTATTTTAATTTTATTCTTTAGATGAAAAATAATCAATACTAGATATAGGATTAAGAGAAAAAAAGCAACCACCAATGTGCCAAAAGAAACCAGAAACAAAAAAACCCACCAATATTACACTGATTATGGAATAGCGGGAATGTTTTCAGAAATGATGTCACTAAAATGTATCAACAGTAAGCCAAGGTTTCTTACATTCTATAATAAATCTAGAGTATCTTCACTGAAAAAAATAATTAAATTGAAATAAAAATAATATGCAAGAATATGAATGAGAAAAATATTGATTCTTTCTCAGAAAAAGAAATTACCATTCAATGAAATGGAAAAATCATCAGAAATGTTAGAACTATGAAATTACAGAATCCTATTTTCATATGAAACACAATGTGTGCAGGCCATGCATTGTGAAGCATGGAACAGAGTCAGGAATTCAGCAAGATGCAGACAACCATGATGAAAATCAACCAAATAGTAATAATAATTAATTTCTCAAAAAGTGCCTGAAGAAGCATACCTGTTTTACCCTTTCAAAGAGAATAAGTTAACCTTCAATTATTTGAGAGCAGAAGAGGATTTAATCTGGGGACAATTTATTAAGTAACTGTGCACATGAAATATTCTTTCAGCAGCAGTTTTTGATAAGCACTCAAAGAGAGAGTAATCCAGAGCAGGTGGGCATGCAGGATTCGTGCGGTAATTCCATAATATATACTCATGATAATGCATGTCCAGTTGATGGTTTGTTTTTTTTATTCCACGAACTGACCCAGTTAAACATTTGTGTATTTAATATGCCTGAGAAGCTATAATTAGAACATTTTTAATTATTCATCACTCTTAACTCTTCTCTCAAGTGCAGTAATTCAATATGACAGTTTGAAATACTGGAACAGCACGTTGTTCTCAGGAACTTTCTGACAACACTTAAGCTTCTGTTTCTTATATGTGGGGTTTTTTTTTTCCAATCCTGCAATTTTATGTGAAGGATAATAATTGTCTTGGAATATTTTTCTTGTTATGAAAATCTGGCACAATTTCTATCCTGGAAAAATGATGCAAATCTATTTACCTAAATACATACATTTTAGCACAATGGAAAAGGTTTTTTATTTAAAAGTTAAAGTGTATTTTATGTTTATCAGCCATAATGTATTGTGACTAATTAAACTAGAAGTCCTCTGTTTATTTGCAGAACAGCTATTATGCAGACCAGGTAAGCTGTGGCATGTTTCCTTCCATTATTTTGGAAGTGTTCTCTTCAAGATAGTTAGCAAATAATTTATTTTTCTGCTTATTCAGGACATGATCAAAGCACTCGAGTCAGTATCAAGATCATAGAGACTCCAAAGAGCTCTGGACAAACATTTATGAAAAATGCCACAAAAGTATTAAGCATTACCAAGCTGTGGTATGTCATATTTGCACATACCCATTCCTATGATCTGGACTGAGGCAACCTACTTTACATGGGCCATCGTACATGTTCTTGCTCAGCAGAAAATATTTCTATAGATTGTTCAAACAAACCTAAGCTAAAATTACTCCCTAGAAATGCTGAAAACATGTTTTTAAATTTATACACCAATTAACACATAAAGCTCATGATTATAGCTATGATTATAGCTATGGCCACTGCTAATGTCAGGTTAAAAACTAAATTAATATTTAATACCATACACCAAGCTAATAATTTTACAGAAGAGTGATTTACCACAAGTGCGGAATTACGTCATCAATTTACTTGATCACATTTCACCTCCTTTGTAAAAGCTGAAGCATAAATATATTTAACTCACTCAGCTACATTGATTTTCTCTAACTAGTATGCTTGACATTTGTCTGGAGACAAATACCACTTTTTGATGTATACTCCTCCTGGGATTCCTAGGCCTATGCTTAGTTTTTTTTCTGTAATCTTAGTGAGGGCAATGAACTATTTAGTTTCTACTCAGGTTTCTACATTCAAGTAAAAAATACTCTATTTTATGTGGTATGAGACTATTTCAGGCACTGCAGCGTGTCAGATAACAGCTGAAAGCAGAAGGTTTGTTGTAAATGCCACCCAGGGTTTATGTAGGGTTATGTAGGGTTTATGTAGGAGATACGCTCTTCTTGCTGTAGACCTTGACATCCCACAGCAACCACATTTCGAGCTAGTGTCTGGACAAAGGTCCAGGATTAACCCTTGAACCTCACACTGCCATTGTGCACTGATTCATATGTACAAGCAGACTGCAACCTGAGGTGACCACAAAATACACAATTTTTTGTACAAATGCAATGCAAACATTATCAATACCTTTTTTAAACTCCCTCCACTACAGAGACTAAAGACCCCCTTTTGGAGTGCTTTCTTGTTTTGCTGAGTGATTGTTACTATCATATCCCCCCCTGCCTTTGTCTCCCAGTTAAATTCAGTCTCTATACTACACCTTCTGAAAAGATGACATTATGCCTTAGATGTAGAAGAACATGGCTAACAGGGTACCTCTTGTAAAAAGTAGCAGAGGTGATGTTACCATGCTTATCAAGCCCCAAGTTCAAACACTAACCCCTGGGGACTACTTTTATGAAGACTTTTGCCTTGCACAGCACCTATGGGTGCTGTGTTGTGGCTGCTACAAATAGGAGGCTTGGTTTCTTGCAGTGTGAATGGAGATAGGTGGTGGGTGGCAGCCCTTCTACCAGCATGAAGGCGTGGGTGAGTGGGGGCATGTTCCCAGTGAGTGTGCTTGCAAGAACTGATTTGGCTCCACTTCTTCCCCTTCCTCCAGCTGGCTGAAGTGGCCTGATTTATAGGGGACAGTGGCTGCTGCTCTGTCATCCTCCCTGCAGGAGGAGGAAGCTGCCAGTCCCTTCTCACTATCCCTCCTTGGTGTATGCAAAAGGTGTATACGTCCCTCTCCTAGTCAGTCTTTCCCCATGCAGTACTGCTGGCTCAGAGGGGCCATCTCCTCAGCTGTTGTGCCCACTAAGTGAAAAAAGCCCTTTGTAATCTTTCTTCTGGTTCTGGGGCAGAGCAAAGTGGGTGGCACGTTGCAGGACTCAGTTTCTTCTTATTAATAACTTTGGGGTCTTCCTACCTGTCTCAGACTGATTCACTCCTGTTTTTCTCCTGATTGAAGTAATGATTATGGAAGTATCAAATCTCAGCAAAAAACTTTCTTTGTACATCTGGATTCTCTGTAAGGCCAAAAAGAATATTTATAAGGTGACAGTTGATGGACTGAATATGCCCCTTCTCCCAGCCCCATTCTCATTCCTTGCCATCCCAAGGAAAATAAAAGTTGCACCCCTGCACTGAGATTATCCTCTGAAAAATCACAGAATAATTTGGGTTGGAAGGGACCCTTAAAGACAATCTACTCCAATCCTCCTGCAATAAGCAGGGACATCTTCAACTAGAAGTGGTTGTTCAGAGACCTGTGCAACCTGACCTGGAATGTTTGCAAGAGTGGGGCATGCACCCCTTCTTTGAGAAACTTTTTCCAATGTCTTAACACCCTTATCATAAAAAATGATCTCTGATTTTTTATCTCTAATTAAAGTGATGTTTAATGAGCTCTAGGTTGGTGTATCTGGATTTCTCAAGTCCATGGCAAAGCCTTGGTATTTATTAAGAGTACACATATGAAATTGTGCATAGGTAAAGAAAGCCTAATTGTTTAACAAACTGAAGATTGGGCTACATATCTGTATTTAATATTGAGAATACTTGCCTATACCAATCTCCCCCTACTCTTTTTCTCTCAAAGTCTTACAAAAATTAGATGCTTGTATGTGCAAAATTCAAGTAAAACATTTTTTATTACTTCCTTCTTTGAAGCATAACATCTATGACCTTAGCAAGGTTTTACATTTGTCCTCCTCCAGCATTTCTGGTTGCCAGTGTAAATACATGCCATTATATTTAGAACATTTTGACATGTTTTTCAGGTGTTCTGACAGCTATTTCTACCAATGCTTTAATGGAACAGTTGCGTTTAAAATATCAACAAAGGCCATGGACTGAAACTCTAAAACTTGTTTATTTTTGCATGGTAAGAATCACAGGTTAGGTGAGAGAAGGCTATGTGGTATAAGAGTATGTTTCCAAGGTAGTTAAAAAATTGCTTGACTTTCAAAAACAAGTAAAACCAACTAAGCAAAAAAACCCCATGCAGTCCAAAACCGACCAAAAGATAACCCCCAGAAAAACCTGGTGCCTAGTATAGCCTGCCTCCCCATTTTTCTTAGGACAATGGCTTATAAAAGTTTCCTGCCTAATTTTAACACTTTAGGTGTTGTTTCTTCTGTTGTTTTAATTATTCAGGGGTTACTACTGGTTGTCTACCAGTTGAGGTTGCTTTCCATTCATTATCATTACCATGTTCATGATATGTAAAGACAATTTATTGCCTACAGGACTGGGAAAAAAAATATTGTATTTTAGAAACTGGTCTGAAATCTGCTATCTAGACTTTGTGCTGCTGTGATATACCTTAAATCATTCCATGCTTCCTGCCTTTCCATAGCTAATTTAAGAATCATCTTCATAAAGAGCATATTAACATAATTGCTGTGAGCTCAGTATAAAAATTCCCACTTTTTTCCATGATACTTTTTATTAATGCTTAACTCAAGCCTTACTCTGAAAACAATGTCCTGAATTTTAACAAAGTGAAAACTCTTCACCAGTGAGTGCTTGTTTATTGAAGTGTGAAATGTGAGAAGTTTTCAGACAAGAGCTTGAAGAGAAACTGGGAGAGTTTACTTGCTACTGAAGTGAATATCATCAGCTGAAACTTGTATCCTAATGTAACCAAGCACTTCTGTGGCACTTACTGATCTATTCACTCGGGCAGATTTTTTGTAAAATTAAAAACACAAGTATTTTCTTAGTTTAGCTTCACAGTGAAATTAGCTGACACATCTAGTGATCAGCTCAAAAGAGAGGGGAATGGAAAGCCACTCCTTGCTCCAAAGGCATCTCGTATGTAATTACTGCACAATGATGTCTTCACAAATCCATTCAGTGCTGCCATTTCAGAGATAGCTCCAGTCATAGGTAATCTCTGTGTTTGACAAAAACAAACAACCAGAGGTTTGTTGTATGGGGCATCTGTGTGCTGTGCCTCTTAGCTAGTAATTTAAGGAATCTTTCTCTGTCTTTTGTTTTCACAAATGTGCTAGGGTAACCCACATCGAAAGCCTGTCAGTAATGCTCCAGATGGTCTATTGCTTTCCTGCATGGAGAAGATAGAGAGGACATTAAATGGTAATGAGCTGTTGGATAACTCAAAGTATATTTTTAAAATATTGTGTGGAATCTAACAATCCTTCTCTATTGATGTTCTTCACAACAAGGTCAAATATACAAACATAGAGGTGGATAAGAGACAAGACTTACAACTCCTCTTTGGGCTAAGCCTTCAGGCTAAAGCTAGTCTTAAAGCCTGAGAATGCTTTCTACCCAGCACAGCACTTAATAATCATAATAGTTGTCATTAATAAAAAGTCATTAGAGAGATACTATTTTCTCATTACCTAAATCATATCCTTTGAAGCAAGAAAATACTGGTTCTACTTCTTGATCATTGCAGTTTGATTAAATTAAATTTCTGTTTTTTTCAGCTAAATCCATGTTTTCTGTGATGAATGCATTGGAACTTTTATCCAGACAAAAAGGGTAAGTTTGTTTATGAATAAATGCAAATGAGCAAGTATGGCCTCAAGTCCAGAGAGGAATACATCTGGATGGCTTGTCAACAATGTTATTTCTTAGCTCAGTGCTCTAATGGAGTGTATTTGCTGTTTTGATTAGCCCTATGTGGAGGAGGTTATTGGGTAAAGAGAGGGCATAAATGCTTACATCCCAAAGCTGCAGACTGAGGTTAATAGTTTGGCTCAAACAAACATGATAATGTAAATAGCAGAGCACAAATACATGCCTGGTTGGATAGGTTTCAGAAGCTGAGGCAAGGAGGTGTTATTTTTGAAGCATCCCTTGTGTCTCTTCCCACAACCAAGTGAACTATACTAACTTCCTTTTAAAAGTTACAGAATTTTTATATATATAACCTTTCTTATTTTTTTTTTCTTTTTCTCATCTTTCTCAGACTTACTGTTCATGTTAGCCCCAGTGGAACTGCCTGCTACATAACATCAATGATGTTTTATGTAGAAATTCAGCTGGAGAAGGATGGAGATGTGATGGATGTAAAGCTGGCTCACTTTGAAGAAGCTCCTGTGGTAAAATTAATTTTCTCTGTCTCACGACCCTGTAGTCTTCCACCTGGCTTCCAGCTGTCATGTCAGAAAGGTTTTGACTTCCTTTTGGTCTTGTCACACTTGGAAGCCTGTGCATGACACTAGTTACCTTTTTAGGTATCTGACTCTCTCACCCAAACTTACAACTCAGTTACACATACTAAATACTCTAGTGCTAAGTATTACTGTAATAGTCAGCTGACAGGCCCACTTTCCAAGAATTTTGTGGTATCATGCATAAATGTTTTTATTTTCATGCTTCAATGTTACCAGTATACAGTAAATAACAGGGGCTTAAAATATTTTCCTACCAAAGTGTAGTGCAATATATATTCTCAATGGATGCCTTGGAACTATTCTGTTTTTTATTCTGCCTTCTTTAGGAATACATATATTTCTACCAGTGGGGATGTTTTTCTAGCAAAATTTCTATGAAATAATTCACAGCATATCACCCTAAAGTTCACATATCATGTTCTGCAGTTGTTACAGAATTACAGACAATCCTTCTGATCAAAGATATAACAAGCTGTTGTGGGGGGTTGGGGAATTTAAACTCTGTTTTTTGTCAGTAAGTATCCAAATTATTACACTGCCCTGAAGTTAATTTTGTCCATTATTTTTAGTTGAAGTCAGCCCTGGAATTTCAAATTGTTCATTTAACCAGCACAGGTCTGTTGATCAGTGAGTGCTGGACAATATCATTAGAATGAAAATGCATATTCAGAGAATTCTAGCACAATCAATAAAAGAAAAACTGGCCAAGATGCAAATTTTTTTTTTTCTGAAAGAGTTTATCAACAAACTATTTCTGTTAATTTTATCCACTTTCACAGAGCCTTTGTTCTTCTGTTAGTCTTGCTTTTGAGTGTTGGGGTCTTTTTTATGCTAACCATGCAACTATTTCAAAATAATGGGGATCTAGCTTATCATTACAAATGAAATGCTTATAAAACATGTATCAGAAATGGCAAGAAAGATGAAACTCCTTTCTCTTATTCCTATAGGTTTGTGATGACTTGGTCCAGCTACTAAGGTAAATAATCATGTATAGGGTTTCATGTTGAATGGAAAGGAATTCCTGATGCTAGAACTATTCCAGTTTAAAAACTGAAGAGGGAAAAAAAAAAAAAAGTAACCACAATCAGGGAACAATAATATGAATCCAGAAAACAACAGAAGAACTGACAGCATTTTGGATTCCATTTTTCGTGGGAAGTTGGTTCCAATCCTCCATATTGGAAGTTGGTTGTCATTGTAACTATTATTACTTGCTTCAAATTCATAAATAGAAGGCTAAAACTGCAGCAAATACAGTTTTGAAAAGATACTCCAGGCATTATGTATTTCTCAAGTCATTCCACCAAATGCATCTGCTTCAACTGGGCAAGGGTAAAGAGTAATCCCCAATACATGGGCTCTAGTTGCCAGTCAAACACAGCCTTGGAATATTGGCCTTTGTCTTGACTGCAAGAATTATAGAACTATTTGGACCCATGGTTTTGGTAATGGACCGATGATGACAATTCAGAACAGGCAGATTTACAAACACAGACTAGGTATTACATTTCCTCTCTTCCTTCCATCAAATACTAAATAGTCTTTGTATTGTCCTTATGCAAATACTTTAACTGCATGTCTTTCAGGCTTCTCTCACAGCAATAAAAGCAAGGTGTTATCACATGGCCCGAGTTTCTTTGCAAATACATAGGAGGAGATGTGACCCTAATTTTCTCATATAGCAGTAGGGCACTGTATGTATTTATTATTACCGTATTTTGTTCTGTCTGAATAGTTGCTGTTCCAGGTCAGGTCACCACTTTAAAAGTCTGTTTATAAGTTCTTCAGTGAATATGATCAAGGTTCCAGATTTTAATGAGTATATTTAGGAAACTGGATTCTTATTTAAATATTATAGCCAAATAGTAGAAAGGGAAGGTAAAAAGAGACAGAGTAATCATTGACCTTGAGTGTTTCATCTCTCTTTTTCCTCAGAAATTAAGTTATATTTGCTTTGTGGGTGTAAACAGCTATGACTTAAAGCTTCAATTTGCACTTTCCTAGATTTTTGATTTCCAGTGATGTTAATGCCAGCAGTTTGGCTCTGAGCACTGGCATATAGTTATCATTGGTACTGTGTGTGCTACTTCTCTGCCTTCCTGGTTTTGTTAAGATTTGTCACAAAGTACAGGTACCCTTTCTACACCTCTTGGTGTAGTATTTTATTTGGTTGTCAGGCAGTTTGTTGTATGTGTAATGTTTCCTGTGTAATGTTATCCTGTGTTTCAAAGTAACTATAAAATTACGATGAACCAGCCAGCTAATGCACAGCTGGTGCTGTGTCTGTTCCTGTACTATGCATGCCTGCTTCCCTCCTTTTTCCCTGCTTCCCCATTAGTTTAGCTGGAAAGAGACTGAGGAGAACTGAGTGACTTGTTTAGGTTCCAGGTTTGAAAGAGTTTGTCCCAATGCCAAAGTTCAGGCAGGCTCATTTTGTCTCTGCTGATCCATGTTGCAGTCACATCTGCATGGGGAGGGAAGGAAAGTCTTGAGCTGTCTGTGTGACTGCAGCACCAGAATTTAGTAAGACTTGTAAAACTCGTGTAAAATCTACTTAAGCAAGTGAGTAAATACCTGGTGGGTTAGTCTGAACACAGTTCCAGGCTGTCACACCAAGGCAAAATCTGCAGCAATTCTGGGGTTTGAGCAGTCTGAACCATTTCTTTACAAATCAAGCCACTTGTACCATTCTTTCCTTTTTGATTGATGTATCTATCAGTTATATTTAAGTAATATTTATATTTTAATGAAAAGAGCAATGTACACATGCATGGTCTTAGGGAAGTAGTACTACATTACTAGCTTTATTGGAACATCAGGAAAAGTGTTTTGCAGCAAATGAACTGTCATATTTGTCTTTTATGTAAATTTATTGCTTTCAGTAGTGCCTACTTCAGTGCTACCTTCAGCTATAATTATAGTGCTTCTTGCAACAAAACCAGAGGTTCACATTTTCTGGTATCTTCTAAGAAAACTTAAAATCAGTACTGCTACTTGATCTGATAAAGAGGAGGCCGCTGTCATTCTAAAGTGGTGCTTTTTCTAGCAAGTTATGTAAAAAAGAGTTATTTTCCAACTCATTTAGTAGTGTGATAGTCATTATTTCTTTTTGTTAGGATGAAGAACTATGATGCCTTTGGCAAGATTCTAGAAGACCTGTCAAATATGTATCAAATTCCAGGAAACAGGTTGCAGTTATTTTTTACTCAAAAACTTTTGAAATCCATAGCCTAACTTTCGTTTACTTACAAAAATAATAAATTGTCTTTTCTCTCTTCCAGTGAAATGAAAGCTAAGGGATATCTTGCTTTGCAGGCCCTTGAAAAAGATCTTTATTCAATGTCTCTTCTGGACAGGTAACTTATAATTTATGTCTTTGTCTCTTTACCTCTACCCACACCCCTTCATTTCACTAAAAAACAAGTTAATGGATCTAACTGTAGAGCATGATGTGGAAGGCTAATGAATTTTCTCCTACTGGGAAGCCTGAAGCCTTTGTCAACCCCAGATATGGCAAAGGGAAACGATCTACTGAACTCCTGTGCTTTATCTAAGGGATTTCCTGGGAAACTGGTTGGTTACAGAGCTTGGGGCTGTGTGCATGTGACCACCCACTGAGAGCAAACAGCAGTAACGTTTAAATCTCCCTGTGGCAGAAGTAAAATAGACCTGGGCTTCTGCTGTTTGGGTATCTCATTTTGTCCTCAGATTTTAGATCAGGAGTAGTGAATGCCAGCTTTCCTCCTTCCTTTTCTTGTTTCTTCTTTCAAAGAGTAAGATAGATGTGGAACAGTTTCCTAAACCTTCTGGTAATTGTATAAGGATTTTCATTATTTTCGGAAAATCAGAGTTGAGGGCAGTGCTTTCCCTCTGCATTTTTTAAATATCTTCTCTGATATCTTGCCTGTTATGTTACATACACACATACCTTGGCAGGTATGGCCTCTTGTAACTTGAAAGACCCTCTTGGATTATTTTTACAGTTTTCCCTCATGAAGCATAATAACACTATGAACTAATGTGCTGTATCCTTGCTGGTCACTGATATCTCAGTAAATATTATTTATAAGTTAAACAGATTATTTGTCCCATCTATGTTCTAAATTAATGCACTGCAGTTAGTACACAGCTATGTAAATGTATGGCTGTATGTGTTCAGCAATATGAACACACTTGAAGTCAGAGACTGGTTCAGTTCAAGTTAGTTTATCTAGGTTATTTCTTCATTCTTTGCTCAAGCAGTTGCCACTCTAATATTTTTGACCCCCTTCATTTCTGTGCAACATGAAACAGCTCAGATACAGGGAAATTGGAAGCCCAAGTCCCAGGAGTAATGCATGTGTGGAGTTGTGGTGTTTTGCAAGCTGGACATACAATCTGCTTCCAAGGAAGCATTGTCTTCTTTTGATTAAGGATACAAATTAGAAATTACATTAGCCTAGCTAGCACTGCAATACAGGAAACACTAATTAAGATGTGTTTTGAAATAGAACACAGGATCTAAACAGAGTTACTGAAGTACTTAATGGAAAAGTAGGACACCTGGTGCCAAGAACTGGAGGTGATTTTTTTTTTCTTTTTCTCCTTTTTTTTCCCCTTTTCCCTATTCTGAATTCAAAGAATTGTAATCAAAAAACACTACTGAGTTGATCTTTGTGTACAGGAAAGATTCTCTACTATAAATAAAACCTGCTGTAGGGACTTTCTGTGCTTGTATTCTCAGATAATGCACAGACATACCGAACATATATTGAACATATATTTTAAGTAGAGATGTGCTCTTACAAGAAATCCCCTATGCCCATCTACAGTGTTGGTTTTTCACCTTTATGTCAAGGTACCCAACATATTTCATCTACTGATCTCTGTAGTAATGATTGGTTTTTTATTCCTCAGGAACCCCAATGAACATTGAATTCTACATTTCTCCCTATCAAGTTTTGGAAGCAGAACTAAATCATGGTAAAGCTATTTCAGCTTTTCTGCTGTTTCATCAGAAATAGCTAACTTGAAAAGTTTTTCAATACTAACTGTTTTCATTAAGCAAACTTAATTAATGAAAGCTCAGAAATAAAATTTAAAATTCTAATTTAGTAGAACAGTTTATGTGATGCACTTTAGCACAGTTTTAATGTCCATCAGGAAACTACTTTCCATTTCTTGGTTGTTGATTCAGCTATTGCTGCTATCTTCTTTGGGCATCTTTGGCCTTTTGGTCATCAGTGCAGGCTTCTCTTTGTTGCCCACACCACTGTGGCTGTCAGTTGGACCTGACCTTCCAAGTCCTTACCATTGTACATTTTGCATGCATAGAATTAATATACACTAAAATAAGGAAAACAATGCCATTCTCTTTCCTCCTCAGGTTCCCAGGTATGTGGAACAAAAACAGTTGTAACTATTGAAGGCATGGATACACTCCACAAACTGCCTCTTTCTCCATTAATTGTAGATCCTCAAGCTGGAGAGGACAGGTGAGGCTTTGGACACTTGTCAATACAGAAATGGATTTACAAGACACTGGCACTGACTTCAGCATTTAACTCACATTTAGCCTCTGCTGAAAGTAGGAAGCTTTATTTTATTTATGGCTTTATGCTCCATAGCTACACCCTCTATAATCTGTGGCTTTTATGGTTTTCCCAAATGGACTTTGAAAGTATTGTGTTCATTTTTAACTGTGTCGCTATGAATTTATTCATAGATTTGAAGGCAGAAAGCCTTCAAATATTACTGAACTTCATAGTATTCAACGAGCAAGTCCTTCACAGATTCATAGTAAAGAAAGCATATACTGAAAGATATTACACCTACAATACACAAAATAGTTTGCCATCCCACTATGGATACTGACACCTCATCTTTCTCTACCTCAGTGCTGTCTGGAGGGAAAGTCTGAAGTAATTTTCCATACTAAAATAGTTTGGAATTATTTGTAAAAAACACGGCTCAGTTTCTGTGTCTGACTTTTCCTTTTGTCAGTTTTCACATAAACTATGTTTTAAACTATTAAAGTTACATCTATAATGCAAAACATTTCTCAAGTCAGAAAATGTATGGAACATAATAAACTGCTAGGGACCTGATAGTGGCCTTGCACTAAGAGTCCTTGTTATGGCAATTTCTGTAAAAAAAGCTTTCATTCTGACAATTTTTTTTCCCTAGCAGCCTTGTTTTTTTGCAACTGACTGATGAACTCAGCATGGATTTGCCAGCTCTTTTTGTTCTGAAGTTTCATCAACCTGTTCCAATGTCTTCATCCAGTATTGAAGAGATACAGAGGCTCACAGGCATGTTGTAATTGTTTTTTAAGACTAAGTGCTACTGTGACTATGTATTGCTCATTTGCCTTTTACTTTCCCGTGTTAATGTTGCAAGAACAAGTTGCTTCTGGGGCAGAACATACTCTGTTCTGTCAGTCCAAGTGTAACATTTAACAACCAGTGCAAAACGCAAAAGTTCTAAGAAAGATATGACAATTACAGGCAAAGTTAAACACTCCTACCTCAAATTCTCAATAGCAAAAAAGGGGAACAAGAAAGAAAATAAATATTTTTGTCTTTTCAAAACATTTGGTTTAATAGTAGCTTTCATAACCTACTGTCATAACCTAATTGCTAATAAAAATAATGACCTGGTTTCAGGAATTCAGATTTCTGGCTTGAAACTAGCTCCACTGTATGAGCTAATTGTTCAGTCTACTCTTAAAGAAAAATGCAGTGAAGACTTGTCTACAAATAAATCTTGTTTCTTTGTGGTAAGTATAGCGTGCATTTGACATACACTGTGCTGTTGCTCAAGATACATATATACTGAATTACCATTTCCCCATAAGCAAGCAATGTAGGTTTCCCAGAATCCCAACAAAAGGGCTCTTTAGGAAATAGTTCAATTTATGAAGCAATATTAGATCCTTTCATGTAAGTGAGCTTCTCATCCTCATTAATGAAACACTGTGTGCTTGGCTGCTGAAGTCATACTAATTTGTCTGTGTGTAACCCAAATATTTACTCTTCTAAAAATTGCTCAGAACTTTATCATTAATGCCTTAAAAAGAAGGAAACTTATTGGCTGGTGTGAGGATCAAGTCCCAAGAAGGTACTTACCTAGATTTTTGAAGATCTTTATCATGCTGCATGTCACACTGTTTCAACAAAAGGGATATTTAATTAGATAACAGTGGGACTATTGATTCTTTTTAAACAGACTGGCAGGAAGAAACACATAAAGTGTTACAAGAGTGATGCCAACAGCTATCAAGAGACAAGGTTGTTTAACTGTAAAACTTCCTTTTAATAACTCCATTATTGAAATACAGTTGCTCAGGCTGCATTATATGTAAAGTTTTAGAATAGGAAGTTGTGGCTAAGATGCTTTCTGGCAGACTTATGTACAGGGCAACTACAAGACAAGCTTCAAAGAGCTACTTCTGTTTGCTAGGAAACATTAATTTTGCAATTCATGGCAGCAAAAGAGAGCACTTTTTTCTGTTCAACTAGCAGTGTTTGTAGAGCCCATTGCCCTTTTAGTTCTTGCACCTTGAGGTGCAATAAGGTAGTAGTAAATTTATACCATGCTAAAATAATGTTTGGCAAAGCTCTTCTGTTCTGTAAGATGGAATTAATCTTTCAATTCTATTAGATACACATGAAAAGGCTCTGTAACTTTTCAAGAATTCCCTAAAATATTTGTACTTGGTGGAAGAAGGTTTTACTTCTGAGTTTAAAGATTTAATTTCTAGAATTACTAAACTGCATTCTAATCTTGAAATAAGTGTAGGGGAAATCCTTTTGATCCACGAATACATGAGGAAAAGCTCTTCAGCTTTTATTAATGTAGACCCTCCTAATTAACTGCCCTGCCCTGTTCTTAAGGGGACAGTTCCCACTTGGCATCCTGAAGTAGATAACATAATAGTGGCACTTCTAATTTCACAGAATCACTGTTAACATGGAGAGGTAATAAATTTTTCTTACTATTCCTCCTCATCTTCAAGTGAATCTCAGGAGATATTCCAGCCAAACATACCTCTCCAAAGAAAAAGTAGTAGTGATGGAGGTTGGAACATCTGATTTCTGGTACAACTGCTATCCTGTTTGTGCAACTATCAAGCAGCATTACTATGACAGTATTATCTTGGTCACTAACATTTTTATAGCCTATAGGGCTCTGAAAAGTTTTTGGAAGAATTGGTGACATTTGAACTCCTGACCACTTGGCTCTGGGTATATTTGCCTAATTTGTATATATTTGGATGGGAGTGGATGTAATTTAGCTCCCTCTAAGGATTCTACTAGAAATGCAAATGTATGATGGACATGCTAGAAATGTACCTTTCAAAAATATTTTTGTTGTAGATTGTAAAATTGCCTGATAACATCAAGCTCTACTTTCCTGTTTTCAGTCCTTGAAATATCACCACATCTGTTGCTTAGTCTCTTCCAGATTGCCCAAAGCACTGTTACTTCATAAACAAGGGTTCAGAAAAATCAGATTTAGCAGGAGCTTTGGTCAGTAAAATCCCATTTAGCCATCCAAAGTGCGTGCCTGGCGTAATAGAGATTCTTCGACATCAAGTGGCATATAACACTCTTATTAGCAGCTGTGTCTCTGAGAAGCATATAAATGAAGGTAAATTGTGTGTCTGGAAGTGATGGCACAGTATTAGAGACAAACTAGTTTCTAAGTTGGGTGTTGACAGATTTTACTGCTCCCTTGCCAGAACTGTCATTAGTTGTGGAGTGCTGTAAATGATAAAAAATTCTTAACACTGTACTGAATTTTTTTTAAAATTTTATGCTCACTCTATGCACATAAACTAAGATATCAAAGTAATGAATAATTAGACTATTGTATCAGTATTTTTTAAATTTTGGCATGTAATTCAGCCAAAAGGAGTCAAACTTCAGTGGTGGATATCACTAACCAGTAATTTTATTTCTAGATGATTCAGAACTGCTTTACTTTGAAGTGGTACCACACAAGAACACCAGCTTTTCTGTCTTTTTCCTTCATCCTGTGAAAGAGAATTTAGCCTGTGGTATGTGTGGAATAATTGCTACTGTCCTCTTTACTGAGCTGACAAGGGACTTGGTTCTATCTAGGCTCTTGCACTATTTCTCAGTTACAAACATTCTAAGGGCCACTCAACAGTCTGCAGCCCATGAAAAACACCAAGTGTATACACATGTATATAAACTCCTTACTAGAAGGTGCTCTGTACTCAGAGAACATTTACAGTAAGTAAATGCAAATATTCAAGTCCTGTTTTGTCTTGGCCTGCCTTTAATTAATAAACTGTAACTTCCACTATTTCTGATTTAATTACATTAAGGAAAAGCAAATAATACAAATATATTGCTGCAAACCTCTTTCCAGTGATTTCAGTCTTACATCTCTTCAAGCATCAAAATGAAAGGATGGTTTTCAATGTTTATAAGTATTTCAAAACAAACATTTTTCTGTTCTGTTCCTTCTTAGTGGTAATTGATGTTATAAGCTCTAGAGAAGTCCAATGTCACCTTCATTTAAATCCTCAAGATCCAACTCTAAATTCTAGTGATGACTTCATAGCAAGAGTTGTGAAACGGTAAGTACTTTTATTTTATAACAGTTGGAATGAACATCAGATGTCCATTTAATGGTAATATCATGTGCATTCATAATGCCATAAACTAAGCAACTGGAAAACTTCACTCTAGTAAAATGCTGTAATACAATAGTGGGAATAAGTTACTTCAGTGTCTTAAATAGCTCTTTCAAAAATTTTAAACGTTCACAGTGATGAAGTGTTTCTAGTAGAAAGCATGTGGAAGCAGGGAAAGACTATTGAGTGAAGAGTTTTACCTTGTAAAAAGATGCTTTTCTGAAGACTCTAGCTGATGACAGTCTCATGTCTAGCGCAACTTAGCATGGAAAGGTCTTTTTACACATCTACCTAATAGCAATCAGTGCTTCTTTTCAGAAAGTGAGTTGTATATGGCATGTCTACAACACTGTCTCTGGCTTGTTTTCTGAACAAATTCCAAAAGAGCAAGTTGTTGTGATACACGAGTATAGGCTAGACAAACTGATTCAGAACATAGTCTAAGAGCACTAATTCATTTGGCATAAGCTAGTATACAGCTATCATCTGTTTGATGACAACAAAATCAGTGCAGGCTGGATTTTGAACATGATTTTAAACTAGGTACTATTTTTGGAACCAGGTAAAGAATGGGAAAAAAACCTCTTCCAGTATAGTGTTTTAGAAAAGATATGTTCTGTACCTGCGTTACATAAAAAAAATAAGGTTAAAATTATAAAACTCAACAAGAATTAATATATTTCAATATTCTTAGTTTTGGTTTTCACTAGAAGCACCCTTATGACTTTTTTTTTTTTTTTTTGACCAGACCCTCCCACTCTTTCAGTCAAAGCTGCCTTGCACACCCAACTTCAAAGATTCAGCACTAGATTTCAGTGTGTTAACATGTATTTCTGGTACAGCACATGTAGTTTATATTATGGTTACAATGTAACACCAGGTTGTACAAGACAAAAACAGAAAGGAAGTAATGGTGGTTTTCATTCATGTGTCAGCCACAGTGTAAGAAACAGAAGTACTTTAAGGAATGAATGAAGTCTGTAGTAGTGACTAATGTGTTATTTCCTTCTTCAGTTGCATGTCAGTCCCAGTTGTCATGAGAGCTCTTTTCAGGAATGCTGCCAAGGTGAAAGCTGACAGTGCAACACAAGACATGGACATGGAACAACAACCTGAACCACAATCGGAGCAAACTACAGATTCTAACAGTCTCAAAGAAAGCCTTTCTGGGGCCGGTCAGCAAGACTGGACAGTGACAGACAAGCCAAATAATACAGACAGCACAGAAGAAAATTTCTCTACAGCCAAACTGGAAACTCTGGGTGATAACATGGAAAAAAAGTAACCTCTCACTATGCACTGAAACTTCGTGGAGGAAAGTAATTCCATAGCTGGTACAGAAGTGATATGATAGACAAAAACCTGATGGCTTTACAAACAACAACAACAAAAAAGTCTACTTAGTAATTTGTGAATTGTATCTCCTCTTTGCAAACTTTTACATATGGGAAAGTAGTTCCCTTGAATCTGCATTTTTAAACATCCAAATCTGTAAAGTCTAAAACTGTTCTATTATTTTGTCTTGTTACTGAAAACCTCAAAAATTGTCTTGGTAAATAAGATTCCCTCTAACACTGTTTTTTTATTGTTAGAAGGGAAGGCATTACTTTATTCTTGGTCAAGAGATGTGTGTGGCTGACAAAGTTCCAGCCTCAGTGTTGACCCTGCTACAAAACTCTTTCACTTATTTATGCATTTTTAGCAAACAAAGACATTAATGTTCATTGGTTTAATTAGTATTCTATACCCTGTTAGTTATTGATTTCTTTCTCTTCATGCTAATCCGGTCCTCATCCTTTTATCTTTTTCTCAGTCTCCAACTTTCCAGGCCTTAATCTCCTCTCTATCTTCTGGTTACTCTAATGTCCTTGAATGGCCATAAATTTAAGATCCCAGATGCCAAATCTTCTAATTCCCTTGGCTTTGTTTATTGCAGATTGTTACGCTTGGTTTTAACAATCTTAAGGTTTCAGTGATTTAATGATCTTAGTAGGTCTGTGAAGAAACTTAACTGGTGTTGGCTAAAAGTGGGTACTGCTTACAATTGGTTAAAACAACTATTAAAAATTAGTTAGGTAAGTTATATAACTTCCAACACTGTCTGCACCATATATACTATCAGACTATGGAAGAAATCTGTGTCTAACACACATGATACAGTCTGTAACACAACACAGGCATTTGAAGAAAAGTGATGTTTATCCATGTCAACATTATGCTAAATAAATTGAGAAAAAGTTACTTGAATGATTTTTGTATATACACAATTAATGCAGACATCCCTCTCTGTTCACTATTTCATAAATGCATTCAATGCAAGACTCTAAACTGCAGGTCTGCTTACCCCTAAAGCAGAAGTGGCACTGAAAGGAGACCAAACTTACACTCTGTCAACTCTGACAGGATAAACAGTCTTTAGTAAGAATGTTGTAAACTCAGCGTCTGAAAAACAAAGAATTTTTGCCTTAGATTTTTTCTTGCCTCAAAGTATGAAATGGTTTTGTGCTTTTGTTTTAATTGTAGTTGACTGTTCAAAATCTTACTTTGCTATGTCTAGACTTCCTTTGTCTCCAGTATGAAGGAGTTAAAAGAAACTTCTGACAAGTAAACTGGTAACTTACTATAAATCAGTTTAATTAATGTAAAACAGAGGCATTCACAAAGAAAAAGCTTTCTGAACAGAGCACTTTACAGCTACAGTTAAGGGAAGCAAAGGAAAGCAAGTCAAATATAGAATAGTTACAGAAATATGAAATAATCAGAAATAGGCATGTGTGGCTGATGTATTTCTAAGAGGTAGTGAATAAGCTTGGCTTCCTTGAGGAGCTTGAGAAAAGCATTATTGGAATATAGGAAAGCGTTCAGGCTAGAGGGACTGACAAAATAAATACAAAAATAAGGTTAGTTAGACTGGAAGCATGTTTAGTGTGATCTGACATGGTAAGAATAGATGTCTAAAAGTAAAACAATGGAATTGTCAGCAATTCTGCATTTGAGGAAAATAGTGTGTTTTCAGCAAACGTGACAAGTACAACTACCTAAGGACGGAAAATAGTTTTTAACAATGAAAGTGCATTGCATCATGGGTACAAAAGATAACACAAAGAATTCTGACAAAATACACAGCAGTATCAGTGTATCATTCTGCACACAGCGTACCATCAACAGCAGCTTATTCTGCAAAACCACTGACCATTTCCATAGCACTGAGCATTTATTCTTCTGATATTGGAGGGGACCAATTTAGAGGGGCTATTTAATGGACCTCCTTTATTTCCAAACTGCCAAGAAAAAAAAAGAGGGTGAAATGGGAGCTCCTGATACAAAACAGAAACATGTTTATAACTTTGTAAAACTTTAAAGTCACTGCCCCTTTCTGTGAATGTTACCTTCAACATTGAAAGTGAAGGGATTTGCCAAAAGTATGGTGAAGACTTACAAAAATAACTTCTACTGTAAAGTGTCAAAATCAGATTTTCCTAAAACAAAAGCAATGCATCAGCCTGTACATGGCCCACAAACTAAGAATCAAAACCACCTGTGATAGTTTTAAGTACCATGAGACAGAAAAACTAATGTTCCAGTTGCTGGACATGATGGAGTACATCCAGTGATAAGCCCAGTTGCTCTACTAACCACACAGTCTGCTTTTTAACCCAAGCAAGGGTTGAGTTTTCAGGATCTGTGCAGAGGTTTTCCTTGCTGCACTCAGACTGCAAGGAACCAACCTCACCATTATTCCTACAAATGTTTTCACCAGAGCTGCCAGAGTCTTCGTGTTTTCCATCTTTAACTTCCTTGTACTCTGTCCCAGCTGTGTGATTAAGGTCCATGTCCTGAACTGAGTCTAAAATGTGTCCAAGATGTGGCTGTTCTTCAGTAGAATTCAGATACTTAAGCACATCATCTTCGTGCTTTCCAACCACATCAAGAAGATTATTTATTGTACTTAAAGCAGAATCGTGTCCATTAAAATGACACCAGGATAAGAGAGCACTGAAAAGTAAACAACAAAAGTGATTATATTCATCTACGTAGATCTCCACTTGGTGGAGGTAGATAGCAATGTGACAAGGTATCTATAAATCATAAATACATTTATGTATAATTCTCGTTTTATGGAAAATTCAGGCAGCAGATCTAAAGATTAAGCTTAAATATGTAGATTCAGACAATTTTGAAAGAGCAACTGAAAGATATTTTAGAAATTATACTTCTACACCCAGGTAGACATTCCCTGTTTTCAAGATCTGAGAATTCTCAGGCTGCTCACTTTGGACAGTTCTAAAATGTGTAGTTGTTTCTTTTTCTTGTTTTTTCTTGTTTGTTTATTTTAGTTTTTTGTTTGTTTTTAAAATTAAAACAAACAAAAACCTGAATGCATGTTACCCTGTTACACACCCTCCACATACACTTGACCTTAAGTAGTTTTCAACCTACTTCAGGGTTCCTTTGAACTGGCCACATGTAATCATCAGCTCGGCACCGTGTCTGTAACCTTGATTAAAGCCTGTCTGGAGAGCAAGCTCTTTCCCAGCCTCAATTCCATCCCTATAGCCTTCCTGTAACAAAAGCAGCGAAACAGGTTGTTCACAACATGACACAGTAGATCTCTGACAAATATGTAACAATAATAACAAAAAAGTTTAAACAAGTATCAGAAGTATTCAATCTCTTCAAGTTACAGCTTCTCTGTCTGAACATCCTTTGCAGCTACATCCCCCACTGCCAAACCAAAACATGCTTGTTGCAGTGTATTATGATTTACTGACCTGTAAGATGAAGTTTTTTTACTTTTCCCACAAGGATCTCCAGAAAGTCAGAAAATAGGGAAACTTCTTTTAGAAAGATCAAAAAAAAGAGCATGTTTGCTTTTAATGATTACCAACTCCTTTGAGAGAAATGGACTTAAAAATACCACATAGACTTCTTTTTTCTATCTAAAATGGTATGCAGGCTGCCAAGCTTCCCCTTTAGCAAAGGTACTCTCCCATCTGTAATCCATCTGCATGGAATCCATTTATTTTCCCAAAACTAACTGCTGAGCACTTCTCCTTTATTTGCTGGACCTCACTGCATTTAAGAGTTATACCAGAAAAAGAGACAGTGATTGACTGAGTCACATATAAATACACTTAACATTGGGACTGCTTTCTTTAAGTAAAAAGCTAATGATTGTAATGCAAATTACTTTCTATTATAACTACATTACAAGATTACATAGAATAATTCTTAACTTTTTTCACACCAAAATTGCAAGCTGTGAAAATGAAAACTCCCATTTGCTCATGGTGGCCTTGCTAGAAAAGTAGTCTGGAACACAAAAATTTATTTTGCTCAACATACAACTCTAATTTCAACAACGCTTCATGATTTTGCAGAATCTACTCAAATATATTAGAGGGATTTCTGCAAGAACAGTTCCCTAAGAAAAACGGTCCTTTCATGGAACTCAGATGAAGGACACTACACCAGATCTGCTCTAATACCATTCCTCATGAATAGCCTACACAATAGTTTCCATCCATGTTCTTCAGCCAAACTCTATTCAACTGTTACCAGATGAGCCCTACTGCCCCACTCTGAATGACACAGTATCTGTCAAACTAATCTGTTTATGAACTTGTTTTGTTCCCTGCAGAACTTCAGAGAGTCAAGGGCTGTGGAAAGAAGCTTTAATAAAATATGTATTTCACTAGGAGAATAAATCAACCAAAGACCTACACAGACCACAACGCCCAATTGTGGTTGTACATGGAGTCACACATCTTATAATCTGACTGACGAGTAACTCTACTCAAAACCCCAGTCATCTCACATTTCTTTATTAGCACTGTTCAGCTCTGTTGCCCGACATTTACTAGGGGTATACCTACAAGTACAAAGGAAGTAGCTTGCATCACAATTCAGCACTGCCTTTTATAAATGCACATGGTTGTGCAGAGGGAGACAATGTCTTTTGGTAAACAGTACTTTGCTCTAGTGACTGTTAAGAAGTCTTTATGTAAATTTCTGCCATATTTTCCTGATATTCAGAAGAAAGTATGCCACAGTAACTTTTAAGCAGCTACTTTTACTGTTCCCTTTAAATAATTCACATGTGTATCAAGTTATGTGTCAGTAAATCTAAAATGGCTAAAAATATTAAACCATTTTTATAGAAATACCTTCAATCTCTTTTTCATAGTGCTGTTCCATTCCTTCTGTAGTAGATACATCTCATCTGCATCTTCATCAAATATATCTTCATTGGATTGGCTGACTGCAACTCGTACCCAAGACATAACAGCAGTGCCCTATGACCCCCGTTTATGTGGAAAAAAAACACTGAAAAACTCTCAGAAGTTTCTGAGAGGCATTCTCAGTGCCTCTGACAAAGTGTCAGATTGGAAGTATTGCCAAAGCTGTGAGTTCTGAAGAGAAGCCAGGTATGGAGCTGATTATTCAAGCTGTACATAGGAACTTGATGCTGTGTGTCATTGGGGTACATCTGTCAAGAAAAGGCAGTCAGACCATCATTCATAAAGTAACTTCTGAGACATATTAGGGCAATTTATGATAGTTCCTTCCCACCTTATGGCGCTGACACATATACAGACACCAACAAAGCATTTCTGAATACTGCCAGTACAAGGATAGCTGGCAGAAACAACTTTATGACTTGATTCCAACAGCAGCTGACAAATAGTCATATAGAGCCTCCATGTGGTGCCCTAAGTAATACAGGTTGTATGTACAAATACAGTTTTCTATATTTGTATTGCATACACAACTTACTACACACAAATTATGTTAACACCTACAGAATTAACAACTGGAAAGTACTTTCACCTTGGAGTTACACTTTTGTTGTTTATGCCAAATACTTAACTATCTTATAAAACAGAAACGGTTCTTTCAATTTTGAATAAAATTTAGCAAGTGCTGTTGCAGTGCACAGGAGAAATTTTCGGATTATTTGATCTTTTACTATTACGAAAACTTTGAGAAGCGTCTCAAAACTAATTCATTTGCATCGCTGTAAATTGTTAGAACGCACACTGTTCCTTGCGGAGACACCGGCGGCTCTCAGAGAACCCATGGCGCTGGGCCAAACCGGCTGGGGTCCTGCAGCCTGCGGTGGCAAGCGGGACATCCCTCGGCCGCACAGCCGCAGGCAGGGCCAGGCCCCGGCCGCCATTTCACGGCCGCGCAGAGCCCCTTCTCCCCAGAAGCGGCCCCCACGCTAGGGGAGCCTTCCTGCCCCCCGCCCGGCCACAGACGCTACCTCCCCCCGCCTCGCCTTTCCGCGCTGCTCGCACAGCCGCCGCCGCCAGCCCGGCCCGCACACTGACCCTCACTGCATCCACCAGCACACCGCGCTGCGCTCGGCCATCTTCACTGAGGGCACACGGACGTCGCTGCCGGCGGAAGTAATTGGACTGCCACGGCCATGTTGGACAAGGGCAAGTTCAACGGAGGCTGCAGGTAAACAGCCGCCATCTTGGCCAGCGGCGCTCTGACGTCAGAGCTCGTCAGAGCCCCTGGAGGCGCCATCTTGAGTGAGGGCACAGCCCCCTGCAAGGGGGCGGGGCGGCCCCGGGCGCCGAGGGGCGGGAGCCGCCGCGGTCGGGGTCCCTCACGCCGGCAGCACCGCCCCCTTTCTCGGGAGGCGGCGGCGCGTGGCTGCCGCAGTGTCTTCAGGACAACCCCAGGGTAAAAATGTTCTTGGGGCACGAAGGTTTCATCCTCTTTCCGGTCACAAACGGTGGAATTTAAAATAAAAAATCTGCCTTGTTGACTTTCAGAATCGTCAAGCACTTTATGTGAAGCATGCCCTTAAGCTATCCTCTAGAAGACCCAGGTATTAGAATGATAAATCCTTTTTAATATGAAAGGTGCCAGCGGGAGTCAACTGTTTCATTGCTGACTTTGACTAGAACAGGAATATCCTGTTGACATAAATTAAACACAATAAAGTATAGTACATAAATAAATTACGACAATGTTGGTGCATGCCGCATTTGGCTTATGAGCAAACGTTTAAAGCTGATTGATCTTCATGAACACACAATACATCGAGTTTGAATTCAAGCTGCCTGTTCCTCCGAATTGTCAGAGGCTGTACAGTAAATGCCTTCGTGTGCTGAGTGCCTGCGGGCCCCTGGCAGCCCGATGCCCCTTGGGCCCGCACTCCCCCAGCCACTGCCGGCTGTGTCCCGTCTCCTGTCCCAGGGGTGGCTGGGGACATTCCTCACAGCACGGCTTGGGACACTGCACGGACAGCAGCAGGGCCTGTCTGTGCTCTGCAGGTACCAGGAGATGAACAAGCGTATGCTGTAAACTGTGCAGCCACTGCACTCCCTTTCCCTTCTGCTCTGCAGATAGCCTTGTCCTCCTGCTTCTGGCCCATCTTGGTGGTGATGGGCCAGCTGATGCTCGCTGATGCTCGCTGGTGGTTGAACGCAGAGGTAGGAGTAGCCAAGTAACCCAAATCTGTCTAAAAATTCGTGTGTCAGGTGTCAAAATGACACTGGTGCCTCTATATGACCACAACTGCATATCTGCTCCTCAGCAGTTACTACACGTGTCAATGACTGCTGATTTCCTAGTCCACTTCTGTCACTTCCAACTCCTGTTTGGCAGAACCTAGCTCTGCTATTCAAAAAAAACCTGATAGAAACACTGACTGTCGCTTGCACACACAAATGCACAGTCACGAAAAACCCTTCTGGCAACAGAAACATTAACTGGTTAATGACACTTAGCAAATTTTCACCAGGTGGAAACAATTCTTCATCTGGCAACAACACTATTAAACTTGGGCTAACCCTTTGCTTATCATCTTCTGCTCTGTCTCCTTTGCCTCTTGCTCTTCTGGAAAAGATGCACAGCTCAGGGAAGCTGAGAGTTTCCCAGATTCACACTATCAGTTTAAATGTCTTAAATTTAACAAAGTTGATCATCCCACACACATGTTTAAGAATGAATCCTTATAATTGTGAGAAAAACAGAAATCTTATATTTCCACCCCTTTCTGTTTTCAGTTGTGGGTGGATAATTAGGTGAATCATTGTATACCTAGAGCAACATTGTTGGGATATCAAGTACAGTTACAACTTTAAGACGATTTGATTCTGTGTTGATGGCCTGGACAGGAGTGCTGGGATTGAGGGTGAGGTGTGGTGCCTCAGGGTGTGGATGTTTTCCACATTAATATTTGTTCTAAATGGGGCAATGTCTGTGTATTTGGTGACACTCTGTCAAGACTCATATCAGAAGATCAAAACAGGAGAGCAATATTTCACTAGCTAAAAAACAATTCTGATATTGTTGCACAATAAAGTGACCTGAAACTGTGAAAAACAAAGTAGTTGACTTGTGTCCCATTGTAAAGTTTGCCAGTGGAATATCTAAGTTTAAAACTGGGCTTTTTAGGGTATTTTGATATACCAGAGGTACTTCTGGAACATGAATATGCAGCAGCTCATGCTGCATCTCAGCAGCTACTGAGCCCTGCTTGCCTGGTGTACTGGGGAGAGCTTCTAGAGGGGTCAGTACACAGTCAGAGATTAGTAGTACCAAGAGATTTCAGGAGATCATTACACAGGAATTCTGTTGGCTTCATCTTAGCAGTAAGTTTTGCCGTTAAACAATCAGCCATGTGTGATCTCCAGAAGTGAAATATATGAGCATAAGGTTCCTTTGCACTGTTTTTATTGCATATAATGCTTATAATGCTTATAATGCTTCAGCTAAAGCTCTTATTCAGTTCATTATTATACAACTTTGTCTCTCAAACGGAAATGGATGCATTGGAGCATGGGAGCATCCAGTGGATTTTGTCATAATGCCTCAAGATTTCAAGCTGTTTTGAAGGGTGATTGATTATCTTGTCCAGGACTTGTATACGGGCCACTCTGTGGGGCGGGTTCCTTTCATTCTCACTACAGCAATTTCTGTTGCTGTGTGCTGTTGTCTCTGTCAGAATTGAGTAAAGCCTTGTGAAGGACCCAGGGCAGAGGACTATTTACAACATAAATTATTCTCCAGTCATGCAATGATTTTGGGCTGACAGAGATGTGTTTCATTGACTCCAACTTTGGGAGTAATATAATCCTTTTAAGAAAGCACAGCTCTTAAATGGCATTTGGATAAATTTCAACATTTAAATAATTTAAACTTTTACTTGTCTTCTATAGTAAACAAGACAAAAACATAATGAAAAAGATCAAGCTATCAAAATGTGAGAATGGAAACCATCAATATTAAATAAAGATGGTTTATGCATTGTCACTAAACATGGCACAGTGTTTCCAAAGAGCATTAAACCGTAAGCCTCTCCCAAAATGTGTACATATTCTATGGTCAGCTCTGTAGTCTTTTCCAGGTATGAGGTTCTACTGCCTGGTCAGATTCTAGGCTGTTTTCTGTGAATATCATGATAACAGGGCATTGGTAGGACTGCCTACAATGGCATCAAGAAACATACCCACATGGAGTTGATGTCTCTGTCCTGATCTTGGATTTGTGCATCTTTTCTTTATGCATGGATGGGCTGTTGGAGTTGTGTACTGCTGGCTGAATTTCAGTAATGATACAGTGACCTCCAGCACATAAATCCTTTGCTACCACAGAGAAGGAAACAGTGAGCAAACAGGTTAAGTGCAAGGTCATAGGTTTAATGAGGTTTTAAAAATTGCAGCTCATAGCATAGGAGACTATAATGCCCCTAAATTGAAAAAGAGGGTTAAAATAAACTTCTAGGATCAATGATTATTACCAGGGCATGGTAATAAACATACACTTCTGTATTTTCCTATTATATCTCTCACACAGAGTATGAAGACAATTTACTAGTGAAGCCCTGTCACCCTCTTCTGATGAAGGTTACTAATACATATGAATTACTTCTCTGCTTTTGTGAAATCACTTCTCTCTTCTTTACTAGCATACAATAATATTACAACAAAAACTCTCTGTGTCAAAGTGTCAAATTTAATGTCAGAAGAAAATGGAAGAATATGGAAAAGAATATATCAAAGGTAAATGTCTAGCATTCTCTTCCAAGCATCACAATAGTCTTTATAGCTCTCTTGCCATTACTTCTTACACAAGTGTTTTCAAGGGAGAGGATACTTTTTCTACCTCTTCCTTCACCTGTATAACCAAAGCACAGAACTTTGATAGTTAAATATTACAACAGGACAGTTTTCTTATTTGCAGAATCATTACCATTTCAGATCCTGGCAAAGAAACCTTTCCTGTCCATTTCATGAACTTCCAGCAGTTGGGCTTAAACTGAATTTTAAGTAGAAATAGCTAAGCAAACGAATATTTTTTTACCCCCTGCTTTCCCCAGGCTTTCTTTGAATGTCCTCAGGGCTTGCAGTCTGGAAAACTGTAGTCTGCAGTGCTGCATACTAAGCAGAGCAAAAGGTACACTTTATTAACACCAAACCAATTCTCTTCTGTTATTTTCCTTAGTTTGCTCCTCAAATAAGAAAAATTTGTTGTCCCTCGAAGTAACCCATATTTTTATTCTGGAGCTCTGATAACAACTCTAACACTGCAAAAAAGATAGTATGGCTGAGATCAAAATGAGCTGTATACACATCCCAGCTCAAAATTAATGTTGACAGAACAGAGTGTAGTATGGGACTACACTATTATTTTTAGAATATACAACAGAGAAACAAGGAAAGAATATTCCTAAATGTCTTCAATCTGTTGACAATGAGCTTTTTACTGTGTGAAATTCCACATGAACAGAAAAAGGTTATGTCAATAAGGGCAAGAAAATGAAATAAGTTCTGCATTTCAGTTGTGTAACTGAATCATGTGTCTACTGAAATTGTAATATTAGAGATGAGTCTCACTGGGTTTGTATCATCAATAAATCAGGACTCCAAAGCTTTCTGACTCAGATATCCTTAAATAAGATTATTTTTGATGCAGAGCTGCCTTTCTTGCTTGTATGATACTTGACCATAATATGCAAATATTTACTGTCAATGAAATTGATCCTAGTAGAATGCTGTATTCTGCTTATGGATTTCCCCAGCGAATTGCGTCTCTATTCAAATTACACAGAATTTTTGTCACACTTCATTTCTTCCACAGGAGAGAAATGCCAGCCTTTTGCTTTTGTCAGAGAATTGCTCTCTCTGTGTTATCCTTTGTATAAACTCAGGCAAATGCTGACAAACTGCAGGAATAGCAGTGGTATGATGCTGATCCAATTGTCTGAAGTGAATAGAACTGCTAGAAGTCATAAAACTTGTGGAGTGCACTGATTTTCTTGGCACCTGAAACCAGGAGAAAACAATTGTTTCAGTGGCAATGCAGTTTCAGAAAGGTTGAGGTTATGACATGAGTAGTTAAATGGTGGCTTTTGAGTTACATGTGGATTGTAAGCAACTCCAGTGCAGCACGTATGCCGTATCTGCAGTGTATAATTGGTTGGCTGACTGTGCTTGCACAAAGGCTACTGGGGAACTCATATCT